TGTCTCTTAAGCTGAGAAGTACTGGGAACAAACAGCCAAGAGTTTTGTGACACTGCTTGAGTCAAATAGCAACCTCAGTTTTCTATGTCTCTTTGTAAGTAAGCTGCAGACAGCAAGAAAAAGGATGCTATACAGCAGAACAGGAATGTGATTCAAAAGACAGTTTTTTTGAAAGCTTAATAAGCCAAAATAAAACAACAGCATTGGCAAGATTGAGGTGGAATGTAGGCATATGTGCTATATTAACTCAAGGTGACTTTCAGTATAAAAAGAAGCTGCAGACAGATACGGCGTATCATGCAAGAATGGATGTCATTTGAGAGAAAGAGGCACGCTGAAAATGGTCTGTATTATTTTCTCTTTCTCTCTCCTACACACAAACAAGTGGCAGACCACTAAAGGATATTGCATTTGTTTAAAAAGTTACCTCAATACAGAACTGATGAATAAGGCCATCAGGGGCTTTCATAACTTCTCTACCTCGCGAATACAAGTACTGTGCTTTAAAAACACTCTGACAGAGCTAGTTTTCATAGCTACGTACTTCGTCTTTTATTAGTAAGAGGTGAAATGTCCACATTTACAGTAAGTTATTTTAAAATATTAGAGTTCAGTTGTCTTACAAAGAATGGGACAAGTAGGGTTTTTTTTTAGAAAAAGCATTTGTTAGTTAGACCATCACAACAGCAAGGAACAATGTAACTACTATAGCTGCATTCTGATAGTTCTTCTAATATTGCACATTATCAACAGATCAAACGCATTCCCATTTCAGTTCTTTAATAGTTCACCTATAAATACATTTGATCATGTGAAGTGATGATGCATATCTAGCTAGGTGATGCAGTCCTTCTCCTGCAGCTGGACTGCAATGTGAGCTATTGAAATGTTTTCTTTTAAAGAGACAGACTACAATTTAAATGGAGCTCAGCTTCAAAGAATAATCATACAATAAAAACATCTTAAGTTTTTCCTTTAAAGGTTATTATGAAATTGGAGCCATCGCCAGGGAGTCAGGAAATTGCTTTCCTCATGCATGTTTTCAGGGGTTCAGGAACTCTTGTTCTCGAAACAGAAATATTTTCTTGTTTTCAGAAGCCAAGCAAAGCTGTAGCTCCCTCTTATATAATAGGAAAATAAACACCAGGGGGCAGACAGACAAAATAAAGGCATAAAAGTAGCTGTATATTGTACAAACCAATATTGTCCTGTAAAATCAGCTTTGCACTATCAGGCCACCAAGAGCAGCGTAACATATAACCTCACTTCAATCACAAATTGGGTAACAGGTGAATGATAGTTCTTCAGAGCAGGTGTTCGGAAAGAGGAATATCAAGCAAGTGGAGCTGTTTGAAAGGACACATTTCTGCTCCAACCACTCAAGTACTAACCAGCTTTTTGTAGTTCTGAAAAGAACTTGCTCCCCATAAAGGAACAAGAAAACCAGAAGCTTGACAATAACTGTTCCATCAATGAATCCACTAACATCAAGGAATACTCTAGGAGTTAGAGATGCAAGAAATACATAAAATAAGACACTTTTCCCCAAATTGCTATGACATGGAATAGCCATACTTCAAAACTAGGGCTGAAGATGGGGGGGGAAGAGACTAATTTACCAGAATTCAATGAATTATGCAGGAATAATAGCCCCTTTAGAGGAGGAAATGGGTGCAGGATTTGTTTTGGTGGACTTAAAGTTTGAGTGTTTTGTAAAAAAGATTGATACAGTTCTGTAGTTTTGTGAGCAGCTGGTTCCATCATGCTCTAACATGATGAACCAACATGCTCTAATATGGCTATGTTGGTTGAACAAGTCGACAGACCTGGAGAGTATGAAGGTTGGGAAAAGTTGCTATATAAAGGTATTCTGTGTAAGATTCCTATATTTCCAAAGGCTGGGGTTCATGAAGGGTGGACCTCTTAAGACTATCTACAGAAACCTTCAGGGAATTTTTATGGCTAATTAAAGAAAAAAACTTCTATTTATGCCAAAGTCTCAGAAAACAGAAAGCTGATAAAGTAGATATACATTTGAGAAAGAGCCAGGACTGGCATGTTCAGTATTTAAATGACCACCCTTGATACTCTTCTAGTCCTGGCATAAGAGAAAGGCCAGAAGATCAAGGGCACCTTTGTCATCAGCTACTGGCAGGAAGACAGGTGGAATGGTAGACAGACATTTCTAAAGACAGCAAACGGACAGCACACAATCTTTGTCATCATGATTTCCATTCTGTAGTTTTGGTAGCTTCATGTACTACAAATCATGAACTTTATTCTGCATTATATTACACTACTACTAAATCACCTTCAGCACTTCTCAGTTTGTTTCAGGTCCCAGTTCAAAGACAGAGTTTTTAACTATAGAGAACCTGTGTGGTGCACTTACTAAGGTGCAGCCCTACAACTGGGAAGACCCAATTTCCATGGGTGACTTTTGGCCAGTCACTCTTTCTTAACCCAGTCTACCTAAATGGTTATTGTGAGGACAAATAAAGGGAGATTCCTAGGTAATCTGCCTTGAGCTGCTGAAGAAAAAGTGGGATATTAAACAAATCAACAAAACATGAGACTGCAGTATTGGAAAGAAGCCTGTTTTTACATGTTCCTATCCACATGATTTAAATCATTATCTGAGCACCTGCGCAAGATACCACCCTTGCTGAGGTATGCTGAGTGGCAGCCTTGGAACAGGACTTTGCAGCAGTAGTCTCTCAGTTATGAAAGGCCCCTCAAGTGAGATCACACGGCAGCTACTTTATTATAAAATGTTAACACTTTATGCTGCAATAAGACTTTATAAAGTATGTTCTTTCTACCATTTTATTACTTACAGTTTTTAATTATGCTTTTAGTTTCAGTTTGTTTAAAAAAATCTAAAATTTAAACTGAAATTAAAGTGTTGTAAGCTGCCCTGGGAAAATCTGTTTTCAAAGGCGGATTATGAACTTTTCAAATATATAAATGTATACATTATCGTTTTATAGTTATGATGAGGTTGGTGAGGAGTTAAAAAAAATGATGATTAAAAAAAAACTCTGAAGCCTCCCAAGTCTTTGAATCCTCCGAGTCATGCCATTCCACATCAGATCTGAGGTAGGGATCCTTGCTTTGGACTCATGCTTCATCCAAAGCAAGTGTGCAGCTCTGTTCATGACTTTCTTATACGGTTACCAACTGTACATCTGCTTTATGCAGTACTTAAGGATAGAGAAAATCCATGTAGCAAAAGAAAATTCAACTTAACTTCACCAGATACAATTACAGTGGTACCTCTACTTACGAACTTAATCCATTCCGTGACTCTGGTCGCAACCCGAATTGGTCGCAACCCAAATCAAATTTTCCCATAAGGTTCAATGTAAATACGGTTAA